AACTGATTAAGAGAGACAAAGAAGGCCACTAAATCCTTGTAAAGGGAACAATCCAAGAGGAAGAAATGACAATCATAAACATATATGCACCAAATATAAATGCCCCCAACTATATAAAACAAATATTAAGTAACATGAAAAACCATATAACCACTAATATAATTGTAATGGGGGATCAGAATACCCCACTATAACAAATAGACAGATCATCTAGGCAAAAAATCAACAATGAAATACTAGAACTGAACCAAGCTTTTGAACATAGGGACTTATTAGATGTCTATGGAGTGTTCCACCCCACAAAATCAGAATATACATTCTTTGCAGCTGCATATGGGTCATTTGCCAAGATAGATCACATACTAGCTCACAAAACAGGTTTGAATAAATGCGAAAGAATTGAAGTTATTCCCTGTATATTATCAGATCACAATGCAATGAAGCTGAAGATCAATAGAATAAGAAACCGTAGGAACTTCACAAACACATGGAAATTGAACAACGCTCTCCTGAACAATCAATGGATCACAGAAGAAATTAAAGAAGAAATCAGATGGTTTTTACAAATAAACAAACATGCCAAAACAACATACAGAAATCTTTGGTACACAATGAAAGCAGTTATACGTGGATAATTCATAACACTGAATGCCCACATTAGGAAAACAGATCAAGCTCAAATAAACAACCTAACGATGACTCTTAGACTCCTGGATAAACAAGAGCAAGAAAAACCCAAAACTTGAACAAGAGAGGAAATTATAAAGATCTGAGCAGAAATCAATGCAATGGAAACTAAGAAAATATTACAAAAAATAAATGAATTGAAGAGTTGTTTTTTTAAAAAAATAAATAAAATTGATAAAACTTTAGCAAATCTTATTAGAAAAAGGAAAGAAAAGGCTCAGATTAGTGCAATCAGGAATGGAAAAGGCAAAGTCACAACAGATCCCAGAGAAATCCAGCAGATCATTAATACATACTATGAGAATCAGTACTCTAATTAAATAGAAAATACAGAAGAAATGGACAGATTTCTAGATGCTTATGAATTACCAAAGTTGAACGATGAAGATAAAAACATTTTAAACATCCCAATCACAATCAGTGATTGTGTTATTAAAAACTTACTAACAAAGAAAAGCCCAGGTCCTGGTGGATTTACTGCTGAATTTTACAAGACATTTAGAGAAGATCTACTGTCATTACTCTTCAGACTTTTAAATGAAATTAAAGAGAAGCAATACTTCTAAATTCTTTCCTAGAAGCAAATATCACTTTGATTCCCAAACCTGGGAAAGATGTAACTAAAAAAGAGAACTACAGGCCAATCTCCTCAATGAATATAGATGCAAAAATCCTCAATAAGATACTAGCAAACAGAATACAGAGGATCATCAAGAAGATCATACAACCTGACCACGTTGGATTTATTCCAGTGATGCAAGGATGGTTCAACATATGTAAATCAATAAATATAATGCACTATATTAACAAAGTCAAGGACAAGAATCACATGATCCTCTCGATAGATGCAGAAAAAGCATTTGCCAAAATTCAACACTCATTGATGATTAAAATTCTGGAAAAAAATGGAATAGATGGTCTATGTCTCAACTTAATAAAGGCTATCTATGAAAAACCAACAGCCAACATCATGTTAAACGGCCAAAAACTAAAACCCTTCATGTTAAAATCAGGAACAAGACAAGGATTCCCATTATCACCACTCCTCTTTGATATAGTTCGGGAAACAATAGCATAGCAAATAGACAAGAGAAAGAAATTAAAGCAACAATGATAGGAAGGAAGAAGTTAAACTGTTATTATTTGCACATGATATGATACTCTACATTGAAGACGCAAAGAACTCCACCAAAACACTTCTAGAATTAATTGACACTTTTAGTAGAGTAGCTGGATTCAAGGTCTACACCCCAAAATCAATGGACTTCTTGTACACAAATAACAGACTCACTGAGAAAGAAGTAAGGGAAACAATTTCTTTCACAATAGCACCCCCCAAAAATGAAGTATCTGGGAATTAATCTAACACAAGAAGCAAAAAAGATCTACACTGAAAACTACAGCACTCTGAAAAAAGAGATCAAGGAGAATATAAGAAAATGGAAAGATGTCCCCTGTTCCTGGGTAGGAAGAATCAACATTGCAAAAATTGCCATACTACCAAAACTGCTATATAGATTCAATGCAATGACAATTGAAATCCCAACACTATACTTTACAGAACTAGAAAAAAAGAATTCAAAAATTCATTTGGAACCATGAGAGACCTAGAATAGCAAAAGCCATCCTAGGCAACAGACACATGGCAGCGGGCATAACAATTCCCAATTCAAACTATACTACAAAGCCACTGTGATAAAAACAGCATGGTGCTGTCAAAGAAACAGACCTGAGGATCATTGGAACATATTGGAAGACACAAAACAACTCCAGATGTACTCAGCTAACTCATCTTTGACAAAGGTGCTTACAGTCCCCACTGGAGGAAAGATAGCCTCTTTAATAAATGGTGTTGAAAAACTGGATCTCAATCTGCAAAATATTAAAATTAGACCCTTATCTGTCACCATGCACTAAATTATAATCAAGTGAATTAAAGCTCTAAATATTAAAACACTAAATAAAGAAACACTAAACTTGCTGGAAGATAAGTTAGGCAGAACTCTGAAAGACATTGGCATAGGAAAAGACTTTATGAACAAATCCTCAGTAGCATGGGAACTAGCAGAAAGAATCAACAACTGGAAATTCATCTCATTAAAAATCTTCTGCACTGCAAAAGAAACCATCAACAGAACTAAGAGACAACCTACAATGTGGGAAAATTTTTTTACCGGCTACTCCTCAAACAAAGGACTATTTTCTAAAATATATAAAGAACTCAAAACAACCATTCCACCCAAATATAAAGACCCAATTCTAAAATGGACATCTGAAATTAACAGACATTTCTCAGACAAATAAATAAAAGCAGCAAGTAAATATATGAAAAAGTGCCCCACAACACTGGTCATTCAAGAGATGCAGATGAAAAAAACACTGAGATTTCACCTCACCCCACAAAAAATGGCTGCTATCAAGAAATCACACAATAACAAATGTTGGCATGTTTGTGGGGAGAAAGGAACCCTTCTCCATTGTTGGTGGCAGTTCAGACTGGTGCAACCATTATGGAGATACCTCAAAGAACTAGGAATAGAGGTTGCATTTGACCCAGCCATCCCTCTGTTGGGTATCTTTCCAAAAGAATTAAAAGAATCATACCGTGATATATGTGCACCCATGTGTATAACGGCATGGTTTGTAATAGCGAAAACTTGGAAACAGCCCATCTGCCCATCAGTTGGAAGCTGGATAAAGAAGATGTGGTTTTTCTATAAAATGGAATATAACTCAGCCATAAAGAATGAGAGAGAAGATTCATTCATAGGTAAATGGGTACCTTTTGAGGATATCCTCCTAAGTGAAATAAATAAGTCACATATATGCAAAATACCAAATAGTTTCTCTGGTGTAAATACTAAAATAGTACTCAACATCCTAACGGGACAATTAGCAACGTGAAATAGGAAGAAAAACACCAAAGGTGTAGAGACAATGAAAAAGATAGGGAAAGGGGAACAAGGGAAATGGAAAAAAATATGAGGGAAAATGTAAAAATGGAATTAATAGTGTTTGAAGGTGGGGAGGGGAGGAGGGGGTGAAGGGAGGGTGAGGACAAGGGGAAAGACGAGAACCAAGTCCTGTCATGTAAAGGTACAAGATCTCAGTAATGAATGTAATTTTACTGTCTACCTAGAATAGACCAATAAATTCAATTTAAAAGAAGAAAAAGGATCTAATTTTGCTTTTTCTGACACCTTCAGTAATAATATAGTCATAATATACCTATTTTATTGATGGCACCTCTGGTTCTATACCTATCTCTGGGATATTTTTCTCTTCCTAACATTTTTTTCCTTCACTTTTCAAAACTCATGATTATCAGAAAAATATTGCCTTCCTTACACATGATGTCATCAGTTAGTTTGCTTTCCAAAATAGAATAGTCCCTGGAACAAAATACTTGGAGTTCACCTCTTTTGGTGTCTCCCACTCTAGCCACCACTATGCAATATCCCTTCATCTGTGACCTTAGGAACAGGAATATTAAACACTCTTCAGGGAAACCCCACAGGACAACATTACAGTCTCAGGACCTTAGCATTCACTTGGGCTCCCAGAAAATTAAACATAAAGAGTTGTAAATCATGCCTTCTTGTTCACATTATTGTTGTTGATGTTAAGCTTTATTTTGTGAACTTGTTTTATGATCGATTTGTCATTTTAATTGCAAGTAGTTGAGAGAGGAAGTGATGTGGAATTTTAAAAATGAGTACAGATTTGCAGGTTGGGAAGACGAAATATTTCTGGAAACAGATATTGGCCAAATTTGTACATGATGGACATGATTGTGATCACAGAATAATGCACATAAAAGTGATGAAGGTAATTACTAACATTATTGTATATATTTTACCACAATGGAAGTAAATTACAAAATAATAATCATTTTAAAAAAGAAAATAAATCCATTGAATAGGACACACATACTTTCCCCTCAATAGAATAAGCATTCCAAAACTGTGATGGACATTTTAGTATCTTGTCCTTTGGCTCAAGTAATATTTGGAAATCCACAGGGATAACAATATTTGAACCAACACAGCTAATTATGAGCTCTGTGCATTGAGCCTCCAGGGCTGTCTAGGAATCAACATCACAGTGTGTGTCTCCAGCCTTTTAGTTTGATTTTACCAGTCAAGAAGCCTTTTTGGGGTCTCATCATCCAGTCTGTCTGTAGAAGGTAGTTTATATCTGACAATTAATATCAAGCTGAGAATAGATCCTGCACATTCACAAACTGCACAGAACAGCGAAAGTGCTTCAGGTCTGCACTCCTCCTTGGTCATGATCCAGCAGAGAAGCAACTCTACAGAGTAAGTGCCAAGAGAGAGGTCGGTTGGTTGAGGGATTATACAATACTTTATTCCCTAATCATTTAGACAAACGGATAATCTGAGCGTCCAAATGGAAAGATAATAATTGCAAAATTTCAGTTATAATTAATGTGAACTTTACATTTCTTCTTGTACTGTGGGCCACTGATAAGTAATTCAATGTTTTAATTCCCTGCCTCACTTGTTATGCTGGGCATAGACGTCTTATCCACAAAAGGGTAGTGTGGATCTCTCTGTTCAGTTACTTGAAATTTCAATTGTGAAACAGATGAAGTTGATGATGAGGAGGATGAAACAAATTATAAGATCATGAAGGTAACATCCTGCCTAGAGAATGCTGGCAAGTCTTGCTATTGACAGCCCCAGTCATGTCATTTCCCTGTCTCTCTATGAACAAGGGGGGGAAGCTTGCTCAGCCTGTTGTCGTTTTGGGGGTTCCTACTAGGTCACAGAATAGTGTGTGGCACCAGTTGCACACGCTATAGGAAGGACACCCATAGCCACAGAGGAAAATAACTGAAAGACTGGGAACATTATAATTCAGCCAACAACTCTCTCATGCCTCTCCAGTTGCTGTTGTCACATGCTCTTCTATTCCTATAATCTGCTAGCTTACACTCAAAAGGAAATAAAACCAGGGAGCTGATTTCATTTTTACTAATGAAACGTACCTCAGATGTGTGTGTGGTTAGAAACCTGGGTATCTACCAAATACCACCTAATACTTGGGAATGGGACCCAGAATCTGACAATTTAGTTTTGAATCTATTGGTCACGTTTACTATTTCAGTGATGAAAGCATAGTGTTAGTATCTCTGAGACTGAACATTATTATCTGAGTTATTTCTATTTGGTACAGTGAAACTGAAGATGAAAGAAACAGAATTGCTTCCTATTTGACTAATATGTGATAAATTTATAAAATAAATGTAAAATGTAATCAACTATTTACATTGTTATTAATTATAAGAGGAAACATCACATCACATAATTGAAATGACCTGTTACTTGAAGTTATTGTTTTTATTTCTGAAATGGGGCATTAATTTTTGTCCTTATATTTGTTGTGTATTTTATATTTATATATATATTTTTTATTTTTGGTACCAGGGATTGAACTCAGGTCCTTGCACTTGTGAGGCAGGCATTGGAACCACTAAGCCAAATCCTTCAACTTAGAGTGCTTATTTGAATAAATGATTTACTTAATGATAGCCATTCTTTGAGTAAGATGGAATCTTCATGTTGTTTTGAAAAAAGAAAAGAAAATACTCTAATTTTGATCTCCACATAGCTTGTACTTAATTGGTACAGAAGATCCTTCAAAAATTTAAAAATGCACTAGATAGATGATTGTTTGATTCACAAAAATTGGCTGCAATTAGTGTGGCTTCAGCACATTTGGTGCTTTCCTCTCTACCCTGTCATCTTCTGGAATATACAGTAATCACTAGACAAAAGTAATAGTGCTTATTCATGTCTGTGTCATGAAAAAAAATCAGCCCTAAACTTTTATTATTAAAAACATCTGCAGATTAGTTATTTTTTGTTTCTTTCAAGCACAATTTATTTTATTTTTTATTTTTTCTCATTTTTTTCTCACTCACCCCTCCTCCCTTTACTATTTACAAATAAAGACATGATAAAAATTTTTTATGGATCTTCACAAATGAAAAAGAGGCAGAGAGAAGAGGTAAGCTTTATTCTTGAGCAGATACATGTCTTGGAATCTTATAATTCCTGGGTTATGATTCCTAGCTCTTGACATTTTTTTATCAATACACTCACCATTTCCATGAAATTCTTTATTCGAAGGAAAAAAAGCAAAGCAAAATTTTATCAAGTTTCAGACATGCCATAGATGGATGGCACACTGATGTATTCTCCCTTTTTCTCTTATCCTGTATGAGTGTTAGAGATAGTCACACTCACATGTGCATATGGTACAAGATTAAAAAAATGGGACTAAAATATTGATTTCCTAATGCCTGTCCCAGGGCATTATCTCCTCTTTTGAAGCTGAATAGAATTAATACTCTGGTGTGAATAAACTGTAGTAATACATAAGATCCTAATGAGATTACTGACATTGTGAAATGGGAAGAAAGGGGCTAAAGGTGTATTTTCTATAATGTTCTTTTTTGTATTTTCCCTGTGTAACTGTATTGTGAGATGAAAAAAGAATAAATACAAATCATCTTCAGGTATCTGAGACAGAAAATCACCACCAATGTACCACAAAATATTACTGTGAATATCTATTATATTGTATAAGAAGTATCAGAGTCAAGTTCAGGTTTTGAGATTTTCCTTGGAACTAAAGTCCCTAACCTTATGCAAAAGACTTTAAGATTAGCAAAATAGTGCTCTCTTAGGCAGCACATATACTAACATTAGCAAAATAGAAGAAGTGCTATGAGGTCCCCTGCTATAGAATACAGAAGAGAAAATAGCAAAGAGCTGACTTGCTTCATTATTGTTTAATTATTAACCAAATTGTACACCAAGACATCTGTTGTAAGCAATGCCATTGGTTATGTGCATTTAACTTAAATATACTATTGAAAGGTAAAGTCCACCAAAGGTAAGTATACAAGTTTTATAATAAACACCTTTAAAATACAAATAAATGTATTTGAGTGAGCATTTTTTTTTCTACAAAGGAAAGTCATCAGTAAAGAGAAGAAAATAGAAAAAATTCTGGAAGACAAGTGACATATATAAATATTTTCAAAATATGAAGTATCAACTTTAATTTAGTGTTCACTAAAATGGTCTTAACTCTCCTAAAACTTGCATAATGTATAAAGTATCCAATTCATAGCAATTTGGACAACTGTTTGAGTACCTGGTATTTGTTTCTTTTCTCCAACGTGCCTTTCTTTTGCAAAAGGTGCCCAAGAAGTTTAGAAGAACAAAATCTAACACACATCCCAGAATTTAATCCCTTGGGGATCTCAGAGGATCCAGAACTGCAGCCTATCCTCTTTGGACTCTTCCTAACCATGTATCTTGTGGCTGTGCTTGGGAACCTGCTCATCATTGTGGCCATCATCTCAGACTCCCATCTTCACACACCCATGTACTTCTTCCTCTGCAATCTGTCTTTAGCTGACATTGGTTTCATCTCCACAACAGTCCCAAAGATGATTTTGGACATCCCATTACAGAGTAAGATAATCTCTTTTAAAAGCTGCTTGACACAGATGTCTCTTTTTCTAATTTTTGAGTGTATGGATGACATGCTTCTGACTGTGATGGCTTATGACCGGTTTGTGGCCATCTGTCACCCACTGCAGTATCATGTCATCATGAATCCTCGCTTCTGTGTCTTCTTAGTCATGGTGTCTCTTTTGTTTAGTCTTTTAGAATCCCAGCCTCACAATATGATTGTCTTACATTTTAAATATTTTGAAGATGTGAACATTTCTAATTTCTTCTGTGAACCTTCACAAATTCTATATCTCATCTGTTCTGATAACTTTACCAAAAATATAGTCACATATTTTGTAAGTGGTGTTATCTATGGATTTCTTCCCTTTTCAGGAACCTTTTTCTCTTACTATAAAATTGTTTATGCTGTTCTGAGAAACTCATCCTCAGGTGGGAAGTATAAAGCCTTCTCCACTTGTGGGTCTCACCTCTCAGTTTTTTGCTTATTTTATGGAACAGCCTTTGGTGTTAATTTCACATCTACTATAAAGATCTCAGTAGCTTCAGTGATATACACCATGGTGATCCCAATGCTCAATCCCTTCATCTACAGCCTGAGAAATCAGGACATGAAACATGCCCTGCGGAGGCTGTAGAGCAGAGCAATGTACTGTTAATATCTCTTCCTTCCATTTTGTAGTTTGTGTTTTAAAACCCAATTTATGTAGATCTGAAAATAATCAGACCATATAGACCGGAAAATTCTGCCAATTGGTTCACACTTGTAGCATTATGGATTTCTTTTTATTCAATACTTCGTTGTTAAATATTGATTCCTTCAGTCCATCTTTAACAAAATTGCACTGTATCCTTAAATATTCTTTAAATCACAAATTCCATGAGTAAAACATTATAAACAAGCATCTTCTGTAGTTTCTGAGAGATGACTTTGGTCTCCAAGTGAAATGTTAAATCTTGCATCTGCTTCCAAAGTACATGGACATTTTCTTTAAACGTTGCATTGATGTTATCTCTTTAGGCTGATTGCATTCATAAGCCATATCACAGATGCCCCAGTTTGGCTTTTATCTGAATTGCACAGGAAGAATAGAAGTACTGATGCCTGGGTATTATCACCAGAGAGTTTGATTTCTATGAATCTAAGTATGAGGGTACTAAAAATTTCAGGGTTTCAGATTCTGGTCCCTAAAAGCACCAGTCAAAAATGAACTTATTGTAGCAGGTGAATTGGTTTGTTTCAAATATAATGTTCAAATTCATTGTTATACAACATCATGTATTATTATATCTGATTTTTACATTATCATATTCCTGTTTCAATATTATGTTTCCATATATACCTTTTAATGCCATGTGGGGTCACTGGAGATCACTGCTCTGTGTTCTTCCTGGCTCTGTTTTTGGGCAGGTACTCTCATGGTCACTAAATTATATCACATTGAAAATTCATATATTTAATTGATACCATATCCATAAATCCTTTTCAGTTGAAAAGTTCCCTTCCCATTAACCTCTCTGTGAGCCTATTGTACCCTGTGCGCCTTTGTCCTGAAGTTACTGTCTAAACAATTGCACACATTCATATTTCTCCATTAAATTAAATGGATTTATTTGTATTTCTGGAACATTGAGCAATGAATTATACCATGGTAGAAAAAAAGAAAGCTAAATTGTCAATTGTCTGCAATTGAAATATTTCAAAATATACTTAAGAAATAAAGTTACTTTTCAATATGTAGCTGTGTTCAGGTGTTCAAATGAGGAGGCAGCGGTCTTGTGTTTGCAGTGAATGTATTACCTTTGGGTTGTCTGAGGATTATTGTCAACATTTGACAGTATAGTAGCTGAATTTTGCTTCTTTAAAGTTACTCTATGATTACAATTGTTTTTGTAAGCAGCCAAAATGAGGAATGCTTTATATTTTATTTATAGCCACACTTTCAAAAGTAAAAAACTATGTCACATGGTAGACTCTTTTCAATGGTTATGTGTTATTTTACTTCTTTAATTTTTTATGGTATGGTTTTTATTCATTTTATTAGTACATTTTAGGTATGCAGTACAGTTACATTCATTATTGGGATCTTGTACCTTTACATGACAGATCTGGGTTATGATTTTTCCCCTTGTCCCTGCTCTTCCTTCACCCCCTTCTTCCCTCCCCATTACAAACAGTTTATTTCCATTTTTTCATTTTCTCATATTTTTCTTTTCCCTTATTCCATTTCCCCTACCCTTCCCACATTCCCCACAACTTTAGCGCTTTTCTTCCTATTTCACATTGCCAAGTATATCATTAGGATCTTATGTACTATTATAGTTTTGCATACAAGAGAAAGTATTTATTATTGTATGTTTAAAATACATAATAGTTTCATTTGTTTTGGAGTGTTGGTACAGTTATATAACGTATCTTGATCATTTTCAATTCTTTTACAATTCATTCCATGCTTCTGCCTCTTCTGTCTCTGACATATACTTCCCATCTCTCAAAAGCCTGACTTCTGATTTCCTATCATCTCCCCTTCATTCTAATCTTTTTATATCTATTTTAAGCTTCTCATATAAAAGAACCATATGATATTTAATTTTTTTCTCATTGAGTTTATTGGTACAATTTAGGTACACAGTACAGTTAAATTCATCATTTGGATCTTGTACCTTTACAGGACAGGTCTTCGTTCTCATTTTTCCCCTTCCCCTACCCTCCCTTCAACCCCTCCTCGCTTCCATATTTATAAATACTTCATTTCCATTTTTTCATTCTCTCATATTTTTTTTCTTTTACCTTATTTCCTTTCCCAAACCATTCCTACTTCCCCCACACCTTTAGGCCTTTTCTTCCTATTTCACATTGTTAATTACACCATTAGGATTTTAGGTACAATTATAGTTTTTTCACACCAGAGAAACTATATGGTATTTACACATTTGTGAGTTATTTATTTCACTTGGGAGTACATCCTCAATATGAATCCATTTTCCTATGAATGAATGTAATTTCTCATTATTTATGGCTGAGTAGTATTCTATTTTATAGAAAAACCACATCTTCTTTATCTAGTCTCCAACTGATGGGCAAATGGTCTGTTTCCAAGTTTTAGCTATTACAAACCATGCCACTATAAACATGTGTGTGCATATATCACTGTGATATGATTCTTTTAATTCTTTTAGAAAGATACCCAGCAGAGGGATGGCTGGGTGAAATGGAACTTTGAGTCCCAGCTCTTTCAGGTATCTCAATATTGATTTCCGTAGTGGTTGCACCAGTATGCACTCCCACCAACAATGGAGAAGGTTTCTGAAGGACACATTTTAATTAAAATCATAGTCTCAGATTTCTCATGCATTTTCCATCAAATAATATGATTTCATCTTTTTATGGTTTAATAACTTCTTTAGTTATTAATTTGTTGATCAGCATCTAAATTGTTTGCAGAGTTTAGCTGTTGTTAATTATGATGCTTACATATGGATTTATATCATGACATCACTATAAAATTTGTAACTCATTTTATTTATTTTATTTATCATTAATATTTTGATGGAGACTGACCAGAATATATTTATCAACATGGGTAGTGGTCACAATTTACCAGTATTAATTATTCTAATCCTTTCAGATGACCATTTTTGAATCATGTCTTTGCATTTGGGGTGTCTGATTTTTTTGAATTCTTTATATTTTCTAGATAGTATTCCTTTCTCTGAGGAGTAGCTGGTTAAGATCTTTTTTTCTAGATTGTAGGTGGTCTCTTCACTCTTTTGGTGAATTATCTTGCACTGCAAAAATCTTTTTAATACAATGAGATCCCAGTTAATTATTTTAGGTGAAACTTCTCATGCTGCTGAGAATTTGCTCACAAAGTCTTCTCCTATGACAAGGTCTTTGAGAATTCTACCTAATTTTCTTTCCAGTAAGTTTAGTGTTTTTGTTTTGATATTTAGATCTTTAATCCACTCGGGTTTTAGTTTAGTGCATAGTGAAACTCAGGGATCTAGTTTTAATGTTTGGCAAGTTGAAAGCCAGTTTTTCCAACACCCTTTGTTAAAGTAGCTATCTTTCCTCCAGTGAGGATGGTTGGCTCCTTTATAAAAAATGAAGTACCTGAGTGTGTTTGGTGTTGTTTCTGCACATTCTAATCCATTCCATTGATCCTTGGATCTGTTTCTTTCCCAGTACCATGCTACTTTTATCACAGTGGTTTTGTAATATAGTTTAAAGTTGCGAATTGTGATACCCCCGCCATGTTTCTGTTATTTGGTTGGGTCTTTCCCTGATTTTGAATCAAAGCACTACTTGCTTCCAGCAACAAATTTGGAAGTATTGCTTCCCTTCATATTTCATTGAAGTTTAAAGAGCAGTGATGATAGTTCTTCCCTAAATGTCTTGTAGTATTCAGTAGTGAAGCTGTCAGGACTTGGGCTTTTCATTGCTGATAATGTTTTAATTACCTTTCAATTTTTCTGAACATAATTGGGGTGTTTAGACATTTTTTCTGTATATTAAGTTTATTGGTACAATCGAGGTATATAATATAGTTACATTCATCATTGGGATCCTGTACCTTTACATAATAGGTTTGATTCTCATTTTCCCCTTGTCCCTGCCCTCCCTTCACCTCCTCCTCTCCTCCCCATTTACAAACACTTTATTTCCATTTTTTCAGTTTCTCATATAGTTTCCTCTCCTTTATTACCTTTCCCCCACCCTTCCCACTTTCCCTACACCTTCATTCCTTTGCTTCCTATTTCACATTATTAATTATCTCATTAGGATCTTGTGTACTATTATAGTTTTTCACACCAGAGAAACTATTCTGTATTTCAGTTAAAGAAATCTCTGTATAACATTAAAAATAGGGAAACCGAAAATAAAACTAAAAAGGAAAGTAAAAGAGAAAAGTCAATGAGGTAAGAATAAAATAATCCTTAATTCTGAAGATTAAAAGGATCCCTTAATATATTTAAATTGCTTCTTGCTCTTCTAGTCTTATCTTATTCTTTTTTTCATTATTTAGAGATTACTTTATTAGTTTCTGTATTCAAACCCAAGTAGATATGACCTTACATATTTAGTATACAATGTGTTACAACTGTACAAATGGAAAAATAAAAATAAAAATTAACATTTCTAGACTAATATGGCTATCCATTTCTGTTCAATGCCAGTTCAACACAGTAAATTGGGATAACTTTTTCCAAAGTTGAGAGCACCATTAAAGTTTCCCAAAATTCATTATATATATTTATATTTATATAAAAAGACTAATAATAGCAGTATGTTATGCACCAATAGCAGCAACAGCTTTTCCAGGTTCTGCAGTCATCCAAACAAAATTACAGACATTCAGCACGTTCCATTAAATAACAACAACAACACACAAAGAAAAGAATAATATCCAGAAAACAGCAAAGTTCTGTTGCTGTTGTGGTACCTGGCACCATTTTTTCTATTAGCATCTTAATCATCATCTGGAAAGAGAACATTCTAGAATAATATCATTAAATATAGCTCTGATAAAGCATGATCACTACTATGTATCATAAAGCAGGTACAAGATATTTTACATTCACAGAGCTATGATACAGTACCTTCCTACATCAATAATAATAGAATCAGTTTTGCTTTGAAATTTGATTTGTCTGTAAA